AGGAGGCAGGGTCCTGGGGGGCTGGTGCTGGATGGCATAGCAGTGAGCTGAGCTAATGCAGCCTCCCCAGCTGGGCGCTGCCTGCTGCCCTTGTCTCTCCTGGCTCAGTCTGAGACCCCCCTGGCAGTGGGACCCGGGGCCTGTTTGCAACTCCCTGAGGCAGGACAGGGCTGGGCTGGGCTGGTGCTTTTGTGAGCTAAAGTTCAACTGATGGAATTGTTTTACTATAAATCTGAAATACTAAATTGTTCTTTGGATTTGTTTTGTTAGAATGTTGTGGAAGCTAGATTAGTAACAGTAGGATTATTTTATTTAGCCTTATTTTTCTAGAGTAGAGACCTGCTTTTAATATTGTTTTGCTATTCTTTGTGAACGTGCTGTGCACTGTGGGAATGAGATTGGTGTGGTATGTAAGCAAATAAGAGAAAAGATGCCAGCAATAGATGGGCCTAATTGCCAGATGGGCCTAATTGCAAAAGAGGGAGTAAAGAGAAGAAGTCGCCAGTATCAGCTTGTCCTGATGGCCGAAGAAATGCAGATTAACAGCCCGAAAGTACAAAGGCATCTGCCCTAAATCAAGAACAAAGCACAAGATAAGGAGATGGAGAATGAACTGAAGAAGACCAGTTTTGATGATAAATGATTACAGCATGACACCGCAGGATCCATAGACTAACATAGGAATCAACTCCTATAAAAGAGGGGTGAGAGCCAGGAGGCTTTGGGCTGGTTCTGCAAAAACAACGGAGCATGGGTATGTGTGTCCGACAGAGGCCCAGCTCCCACTCGTGTTCTCTCTAGCTGGCCTCTAGACTGACTCGAGCAACGATAAGGCTGGTAACTAGAACACCAGCTGCAGAACCTTCTGCGGGGTGTGTGTGTGTGTAAGAATGTGAGCATGTGCTGATTTTAATATCTATTGACATTTTAAATAAAAGCGGCGTATTGCTTTGTCCCCTAAAAAAGATTCCATAAGTTTCTGTAAGCATAACACTTTCTAGGAGCCCCAGGGCAGGTTGAGCAGGGGCTGGTCCTGGTCCCACTGCTGCACAATGGGATGGGGGCAGGGAATCCATGCCCAAGGGTGCTGAGGGGTTGGGGTGGCTGGCCTGCCACACTGAACCCCACTAGAAAAGCAGGATGGGGGATGGGACCAGTCCCTGGGGATCACTGGGGAGACTGGCTGCCTCCCAAGAGCCAGCTGTGACCCTGTGATGCCCAGATCAGGGGTAGGGCAGGCAGTCTGGTAGCAAGCCAAAGAGCCAGGATGGGAAGGGGCCATTTAAGGTGTCTCCCCCCTGAAAATGTCAGGAGAGGAGGAATAAAGCAAGGGACCTCTCTTCCTCACTGCAGAGGGGAGCGAAGAAGGGGGACCAACCCATGTCTGCATCTCCCAGCTCCTCTGGGCTGAGTGGGGCTGTGTATCAGGGGACCATGAGGCGAGCAATGGGTTTGGCTGAAAACCACTTGGGGTGGAGAGAGCGGGCAGAGGCAAGTGGTGCTCTGGGTGATGGGTTTCCAGCCTGGGGCAGGGGCACAGGATCAGCCATCGCCAGCTGGATCAAGGGCCCTTTGGGCTGGGATCCTGCCCCTAGACGAGCCCCCTATGCTGGAGTGAGGGGAGCTCATGATGCAGCTGGAGATCCCTGTGGGAGTCAACTGATGCCTGATCCGCTTGGCCACAGTGCAACTACAGAGGGGCCCGTTACTGCAGGGAGAGATTCTCCTGCCCCTTTAAACCCAGTGTATCAGTGTCTGAGCCCCTGAAGCCACAGCGATGGGGAATACAGTGGCCCCAGAGTGTCTGAGTCAGGATCTGCCTTTTTCCCTCCCTAGCCCTGCCAGAGATTGGGCTGCAGGTAGGAGCCAGCATCAGCCACAGAGTCAGCTCCCTGCAGGATTAGTACAGGGGGCAGAGTGGCTGCCTGGGTTTAGTGCTATACGTTGTTCGTTGTTGACTGTGTGACAGTGCGCTCCATATGCTTTATGAAAATATGCTTATGAATGTGAATATGATGTACTTTTTTATTGAAACATCTCTGAGGATGAGCTATTACCTGTAATCAGTTTCTTAATGTATTAGGCTTAGACTTGTGTGTTTTTGCTTTATTTTGCTTGGTGACTTATTTTGTTCTGTCTGTTATTACTTGAAACCACTTAAATCGGGGTTCTCAAACTGGGGGTCAGGACCCCTTAGGGGTTCGTGAGGTTATTACATGGGGGGTCGCAAGCTGTCAGTCTCCACCCCAAACCCTGCTTTTCTGCCAGCATTTATAATGGTGGTAAATATATAAAAATGTGTTTTTAATTTATAAGGGGGATCTCACTCAGAGGCTTGCTATGTGAAAGGGGTCACCAGTACAAAAGTTTGAGAACCACTGACTTAAATCCTACTTAATAAAATCACTTCTGTTTATTAATAAACCCAGAGTAAGTGATTAATACCTGTGGGAGCAAACAGCTCTGAATACCTCTCTAACAGTGTTATAGAGGGCGGACAATTTATGAGTTTATCCTGTATAAGCTTTATACAGAGTAAAATGGATTTATTTGGGGTTTGGATTCTACTGGGTGTCTGGGTGCTGAAGAGGTAACCTGCTGAGCTGTTTTTGGTTAAAGTCTGCAGCTTTGGGGGCGTGGCTCAGACCCCGAGTCTGTGTTGCAGCAGGTTAGTGTATCTGTCTCAACAAAGGAGGGTTCTGGAGTTCCAAGCTGGCATGGAATACCGGCTCAGGGGTAATTTCAGCGCATCAGATGACAGTCCCAAGTGGGGCTCTGTGATTGAACCCATCACAGTGGCGTAGTTGAACAGGATATATTCACAGCTGATTGTTTGGAGATACTGGTAGTGATTTTAAGTGCGTTTTAAGTGTAGTGCCTGGAGAACAGACAAAGGAGTTATGGGTTTGTTATTTTCTGTTTGCTTATTTCGGGTAAGGGAAACAGAGGCCAAAACTTAGCAAAATGAGTAAGAGTGAAGCTCTGAAGAAGCTAGAACTGTACAGGTTGCAGCTTGCTGAGAAGGAAAATGAACATAAAAGATAGATGCAATTAAGACAAATGGAAATTGATGTGCAAATTGCTAGGGAGAAAGCTGCTCACGAAAGAGCCATGGAGTTAAAAGACAAAGAACTTGAGGCCTAGAAACAGGCTCAAATGGAAGCACAAAAAGCTGCCCTGGAAAAAGAAAAGGCTGCCCACCAGCAAACCCTGGACTTAAAAGGCAAAGAAATTGGGGCCCAGAGATGAGCACAAATTGAGACCCAGAAGCATGAACTAACTGTTGCAGCGGTGGCACACCATTTTGCACCATTTCTACTTGGGAATGATTTTTTTGATGTGGCAGAATCTGTCCCAGGGTTTGTTAGCAGCAGGAAGGAATCTTGTGCTGAAAGCCCCAGAGGGAGGATGAAGTTACATGTGCTGCTGGGGAAATAGGAGAGTCTCTCTTTAATTCCTCTCTAGCAGTGGAAAATAGGCCAACAGGGGCAGGGATGGTCGAGACCAGTTCCAGTAGCCCCAGGGCTCAAGGCAGGTCCCTGTGGGAAGGGGTGTGACCAAAGACAAACAGGGATTTTATATGTACTACCTCCCGCATGGACAGTGTCCAAGTCTCTGGCATTAAGTTCAGGAGGAGGGTGTGATGTTGCACTCTATGCTTTATGAAAATATGCTTATGAATGTGAATATGATGTAACTGGAATACGCTTTATGCAAAAGGTCTCTTGTAAGGTATCATTACAAAGCTGATAATCTACTGAGTGTGTTCATCCTGTTTGTTTGCATGTATTATTTCTATGTCTGGAGTTAAGAGAATAAGATATAAACTTGTATCACTGATGTAAACATATTAAGTGGAAGTCATTAAGGGTGCTTCAGAATCAATGAACTGTAAATGGCTCTGTTAACTTGCAAACTTTCCTGTGTACCAGCCCAGGAAGAATGGAGGCTGGGGTCTCACAGGACATATGACCATGTCACATGATCCTGGAATCCATCTTAAATCTGGTACTTTTCTATTTAGCAGAAGGGGTGGGGACCCAGAGAGACAAAAGATTCCCGCCTTGTGCCAAAGCCATAAAAGGGGGTGGAACAGAACAAAGGGGGCTGCCAGTCATGAGAAATCCCTTGTTTACCACCTGAGATGTCTGCTTGAACTAACAAGGACTGTACCAGGGGAAAGGATTGGGCCCAGACTAGGAAGGAGTCTAGTCTGTGAAAGAAGCTTATTGCAACATCTCTGAGGGTGAGATATTACCTATAATCAGTTTCTTAATGTATTAGGCTTAGACTTGCGTGTTTTTGCTTTATTTTGCTTGGTGACTTACTTTGTTCTGTCTGTTATTACTTCAAACCACTTAAATCCTTTTTTATACTTAATAAAATCACTTCTGTTTATTAATAAACTCAGAGTAAGTGATTAATACCTGGGGGAGAAACAGCTGTGAATATCTCTCTATCAGTGTTATAGAGGGTGGACAATTTATGAGTTTACCCTGTATAAGCTTTATACAGAGTAAAATGGATTTATTTGGGGTATGGATCCTATTGGGAACTGCGTATCTGGGTGCTGGAGAGGTAACCTGCTGAGCTGTTTTTTAGTTAAAGTCTGCAGCTTTGGGGGTGTGGCCCAGACCCCAACTCTGTGTTGCAGCAGGTTAGCGTGTCTGGCTCAACAAGGTAGAGTTCTGAAGTCCCAAGCTGGCAGGGAAGACTACTTATTATTATTAACTTTTTATTGTTTTTGCCAGTTAACTTATTTTATTTGGCTGGTTTCTATTGACTATTATTAGCAATTTATTTGTTATAATAAGCTATGAAGTCTATCGTTAGCACTTACTATTTATTAATGATCTAACAGGGCAGGAATGGGGAGGGCTTGAATTAGTGTAGTGGTTTTAATGCTCTGTTTGCTGCCTGGCCTCATTGCAGAGTCCATGGGTGTCTCGACCAGCGTGGAAGAACAGCCCCCTAGGGGCCGAAGCTAAGGAGTACTGTACCTGTCTCTCTGCGTCTCTGCCAGTATGAGAGGGGAGCAAGCGTGCAGGGCTGGCTGCACAGAGAGTGTCCAGCAATGACACAGTGACCCGTGGTGTGGGATTGCTGATGGGCCTCAGGTATGTGCTAATTCACTGTGGGTTTGGGTGTGTGCGTGCAGAGCCTTTCATTATTATCATCAGCACTTTAATGGTCCCTGCCGAGGAAATGGGTGTGTTATCAGTTGTGCCAAGTGTTGTGCCCTTGACAACTCTGTTGTGCCTGTCCACATGGCTGAGAGCATGACAACACTTCCAGGAGCAATGTGTGGGGTCGTGTGGGCAGAGCTACCAGCCAGCAGCACGTGACTTCTAATTCCAGCTTTTCCACTCACTGGTGTGAATATTTCTGGGCTCTCCACCACTTTTTTTTATTAACCACAAAGCAATCCTGCAACTTTGGGCACAGAGAGCTGTCATTCGCCCATCTGACAGCTGATCTAACAGAGAGACTGCTCACGGTCACTTCCGGCAGAAGAACTGAATCTCTAAATTGGCAGACCAGACGCATGGCTTAGCTGCTTTGCCACTCTGCCTTGCTGAATGAATATGCCAAATTATGTACTTGATATGCTGTCAGTAACTCCTAAACCAGGGGCAGGCAAACTTTTTGGACTGAGGGCCACATCGGGTTTCTGTGCCTCCCCAAACAGCCAGGCTTGGCCCGGCCCCCACCCCGTATCCAATCCCCCCTGCTTCTCACCCACTGGCAGCCCCCCCGGGACTCCTGCCTCATCCAACCCCCCGGTCCCCTCACCGCCCCTGAACCCCCCACCCCATCCAACCCTTCCTCTCATTCCTGACTGCCTCCCTGGGACCCCTGCCCCATCCAACCACTCCTTTTCCCTGTCCCCTGACCGCCCGCAGGACCCCTGTCCCCATTCAACCCCCGTTCCCCGCCTTCTGACTGCCCCGACCCCTGTCCACACCCCGCTCCCTGACCATCACCCCGAACTCCCCTGCCATCTATCCAACCCCCCCGCCATCTATCCAACCCCCCCTGCTCCCTTCCCCCTTACCGCACTGCCTGGAGCACCGGTGGCTGGCGGTGCTATAGCCGCACCACCCAGAGCACCAGGACAGGCAGCCGATGGAACCAGCCACGCCACCCGCACAGCACAGAGCACCGGGTCAGGCCGCGGCTCTGCCGCTGTGCTGCTGCCCAGAGCATTGCGCCATCGGCACAGTGAGCTGAGGCTGCGGGGGAGGGGGAACAGCGGGGGAGGGGCCGGGGCGAGCCTCCCAGGCCAGGAGCTCAGGGACCAGGCAGGAGGGTCCCGTGGGCCGGATATGGCCTGCGGGCCATAGTTTGCAACCTCTGCCCTCGACCGTACTTTCCTCCCAGAACCAGCAATAGAACCCACATATCCTGATTCTCAATATGCCACTGCTGTCTCACCAAGAGTCGTGTGACCCACTGGCAAAGAGTGTGTTGTGGGCCCAGTTACAGACTCAGCCACGCTAAGACAAACAGCTCTAATACTAGTTCCTCTTCAGACCACTGTCATTTGAGTTCCTCCAGTGTATCTAAAGATCATGGGTTCATATCCTGTTGATGACCCGGGGGAGAGAGGGAAATACATTAAAGACTATCCTAGGAAAATAGGAATCACCAGGCCATGCTGGAGGACACCCCTGCTCCATTCTAATCCAGCATTCTGTCTCTGAATGGCTAAGAATCCTCCAGTCGGCTGGTGTGGATAATCTACCTCCCCTCCGCCACAGGTGTCATCCTGGTTTCTTAGGCCCAGATCCTCAAAGATATTTAGGATCCCAACTCCCCTGGATTTCAATGAGAGTTAGACCTCTCATTATCTGAGAGGAACTTGGACTTTATGCATATGGACAATGGGGCTAAATTTAGCACAGATGGGTAACCTTAGTTCTGGTGTTCCTGCACGTACTGAATCTACCCAAGTTTCTAAAAGCGGAAGTTCATGACTATATGCAAAATAGACCACTAAGTAATTTGCATAAAACATCACTTGTCAAGCTGTGTGGAACTTGGTAGATATGGGCTTGTCAATACAGGGAACGTGATCAGCATAGGTAGTATGGAATAGCTTCCCATGTGAACACTCAAGCACTTTGATTCCAGAATAATTACTCCACTTTGGAACAGTATGAATTATTCCAGAATAAAGTCACTTTTATTCTGGATTAGTTATTGTGAAATAGCTTATTCCACAAAAGCTATTCCGGTCAATTTCCCCGTGTAGATGAGCCCTATGGAGTGTTCGTCAGATCTCAGTAGCAGAACCCCCAGACACTAGTCAGGTTCGTGTCCCACTGATGTGTTGGGTGCTGCTCAAACACATAATAGGATAGTGCCTGATGCAGTGAAGAAGAGGCAGCAGGGAGCTGGCCGTGTCTGTCTTACACCTGGGACCACTGGGGAGGCTGAGCCTGAGAGTAGGTCTACGCTTATGGGGGTGTGTACAGTAGAGACACTGGATGTCCAGCTAGCGGTGGTATGAATAGCAGTGTAGATGGTGAGGCATGGTTTACGTGAGTAGAGTGCCCTACATGCCTGAACCCTAGGGTATATACTCTACCTGGCTCTCTTCACGCTGTTGTATTAATTTAGATGGAATATAGGGGCTAAAGGTGTTCACACAACCCAGTCACTGAGCAACATGAAACAAGGTCTGTGGTTTGGTATTCAGAGACCATGCCTGCTTAGTGCCATGGCAAGCACACCCTTAAACATCTTTTAACCTCTTACTAAAGGTACAGTAAAGATGGGGAAACTGTTACAGCCTTTGCAATGTAAAGTATTAAATGAGGCTTTCATTTCAACATCATCCCTTGTATCCTTTCCCGTTGGCTGGAGAGGGGTTTAAAAGGAGAAAACGCTTGTGTGACAGTCTCTTAGATGGTATCAAAGATGGTAATAATTTCTGGGGAAAAGACAAGAAGTTAGGTGAGATGAACTGGCGCTGTTGTTAAGGTCCGATCCCATTTCATCCCAGCTGGTGGTTGGGATTCAGGTGGAAATGGTAGGGGTAGTAATGTCATCTGGCTTCTTCTCTCTGGCCCGTTCTGGTCAGGACATCTCTCAGGATCAGGATGATGAAGGCCTGGGGTCAGGAGCAGCAGAAGGTCCCTAAAAGTGTGTGTGGGGGGGCACACTGCCGCTTCCCCATGAGGCCTTGCCCCCCCTCACTCCTCTCTGCCCCCTTTGCCCCCTGTTGCTTGCCCTTATGGCTGGTAAAAAAGTGGGGCATGTGGCCCTCTGGCCTCCCCATTCCAGTGCCCCTGCCTGTGGCCCCCGGAGATGGTGAGGGTGGCAGCCATGATGGTGGAGCTCGCTCCAGTAGCCTCCTTCTGTTCTTCTCCTCTCTTCGTCTTGTTCTTTTGTAGGCGCCCCACACAATCTTCCTTTTAAGGGTCCTAAAAAGAGAGCAATTGGTGGAAGAGCCCAGCCTCTCATTGTTTTGTCTACCAATTAGGCCTAATATCTGACATGCCAATTTTAGTTAATTCTAGCTCCACATCATCTGTTTTTAATAAGCATAACTTGAACAGTCCTTGGATTATATCAACATGGCCTCTTTGGCTTAGACTAATCCAGTTTCTCTGTCTGGTTTTCTTGCGTCTGTTTCCATCCACATTTGTTAGGGTATGGCTGTACTACGAAGTTAGGTCGAATTTATAGAAGTCGGTTTTGTAGAAAACGTTTTTATACAGTCGATTGTGTGTGTCCCCACACACATGCTCTAAGTGCATGTAGTCGGTGGAGTGTGTTTACAGTACTGAGGCAACCGTCGACTTCCGGAGCGTTGCACAGTGGGTGGCTATCCCACAGTTCCCGCAGTCTCCGCCGCCCATTTGAATTCTGGGTAGAAATCCCAGTGCCTGATGGGGCTAAGACATTGTTGCGGGTTGTTCTGGGTACATATTGTCAGGCCCCCGTTCCCTCCGTGAAAGCAAGGGCAGACAATCGTTTTGCGCCTTTTTTCTTGAGTTACCAGTGCAGACGCAATAGCATGGCAAGCATGGAGCCCACTCAACTAACCGTCACCGTATGTCTCCTGGGTGCTGGCAGACGTGGTACTGCATTTCTACACAGCAGCAGTTAATTGCCTTTTGGCAGCAGACAGTGCAGTATGACTGGTAGCCGTTGTCAACGTAGACCGTCCTGGGTGCTCTTTTAATCGGGCGCCTGGGCAAACATGGGAGTGACTCAGCCAGGTCATTTCCCTTGTTTCATCTCATGGCGATTGAGTCGTACCGGTAGTGCACTGTCTTTTAATCTGCAGCTAGCAGAAGACGACGGCCAGTAGTCATACTGCACCGTCTTCTGCCGAGCACCCAGGAGATGATGATGGCTAGCGGTCGTACTGCACAGTCTGCTGCCAGCAAGCTGTATAAAGATAGATGAAGTGGCTCAAAACAAGAAATAGACCAGATTTGTTTTGTATTCATTTTCTCCTCCCTCTCTCCCTCCCTCCCTCTGTGAAATCAATGGCCTGCTAAACCCAGTTTTGAGTTCTAACCTTGAGGTTTTGAGTTCTATCCTTGAGGGGGCCATTCAGTTTCTCGCAAAGCCACCCCCTTTGTTGATTTTAATTCCCTGTAAGCCAACCCTGTAAGCCATGTCATCAGTCGCCCCTCCCTCAGGGCAATGGCAGACAATTGTTCTGCACCTTTTTTCTTTGCAGACGCCATACCACGGCAAGCATGGAGCCCTCTCAGATCACTTTGGCAATTAGGAGCACATTAAACACCACACGCATTATCCAGCAGTATATGCAGCACCAGAACCTGGCAAGGTGATACCGGGCGAGTAGGCGACATCAGCGCGGTGACGAGAGTGATGAGGACATGGTTACAGACTTCTCTCAAAGCATGGGCCCTAGCAACGTGGGCATCATGGTGCTAATTGGGCAGGTTCATGCGGTGGAACGCCAATTCTGGGCCCGGGAAACAAGCACCAACTGGTGGGACAGCATACTGTTGCAGGTCTGGGATGATTCCCAGTGGCTGCGAAACTTTCGCATGCGTAAGGGCACTTTCATGGTCACCTCTGCTGATGAGCTCTGCATGGTCACCTGCAGCTTGCCACGCTGGCCAAACAG